AAAAAAAAAAATTTTTTTTAACACAAGGAGAAGTCGGTTTAATAGTCATTTGTTTATTGCAAAATTAATTTTTTATTAATAAATTACATTTTTTTTCTGCAAACGATATGGTTTTCTATTCTACTAATAATTATGAACATGCCATTAAATTTTCACTAATTTTTATCAATTAGTTGCTGAGAAATTGTCATTTTAACAAATAATCGCCTTAAAATTCAATTGTTTATAACTTTTTCAAAAATTAAAATTTTTTAAAAATATTTTGGGATATTACTTATAACATATGAATCTTTAGAAATCGTCAATAAAAAATACGAAATTCGACGGGTCGATTTTTGGTGGCCCACTTCAGAAAGTTTGACTCAATATTATTGTACTTATTGCTTTTAGTAAAACTAAAAAATACTTTATTAGAATTTAGAATACAGTATTAACATAAATGTACAATAAGAACATCGCGTCTTATGAATTCAAAGAATCTTAATAATCGCATAATATGCATCAAGTGATCCATTAAAAATGATGCGAAGGGTAAACGTACTGTTATAAGGGGATTGATTTTATGTCTTAAAATATCTAAACTTATTGATAATTTGGTATAATTTGGTATAATATAAAGATACAAAAAATATGTTTATCAGTCACAATCGTAATTTATACTAATTATTATCTATATTATATATTTTTGTTATTGTTTTTATCGTTTTATTTATGTATCTTGACATTTGCGAATTGACTTGTTTAAGGTAGTTCTTCACGGACTCCCTAGTCAACTGAATGCTGAGAATAAAAATTGCGAAATTCTCAATCGAATTGTATATATGGCGTTCATTAAAAATATTTATAAATTTTAAGGTCTTTGTTGATAATATTTGCATTGAAATAATAAAGTTTTAATAATATTAATATTGTTTATACGTAGCGATGAACCACGTACGTAGTTATTCATACACGTTTACGGATGACATGAAAGAGGTTATGAAGTCGTACATTTTTGCTGTTTCTACAATAATTAACTCGAAAATTTGTTCGGCTACCTCCACTTTTATTTTGACCGTTAAAAAGTACGAATCTTTAACTTTCATCTAATATTACTTTTTCATTATCAACTGCAGTTTTTTACTATACTAATTTGTAAATAATAGTGCTCGGAACTGTACGATACCCGAGACGATACCCTATGTCTCCGTGTATAAGAAGCCAATTTCAACGAATTTTTTCTCAAAAATGAGTTCGGCAATCGGGGTTTAAAAAAATTGTAGCATATAGTTCGAGATCCAGAGAACCTCATATATTTTTCTTATTTTTTTCTACAGTAATTCATTTTTGTGAAGAACTACCTTAAAATATAAAAAAAATTTTAGTCGTTAGTCTGACATAAAGGCGAAAACATGTAACATGCATATTATAAAATAATTTAATTTGTATTCAACAACTTGATTATTTTTATAAAACATGATATCGATCCATATTTTTTGTATCTTTTTAATGACATCTTTATTGTGATTTGTAAGGTGAGTCACATGATTAACTAACTTATAGATATATTTTTAACAAAATTAAACTCTACAGATTTAATAACATCAAATCTGTAAATTTGATGTGATTTTATTACAAAATTCACAATAAGAATTTGGAATGTATGTATAAGCTGAAGTTGACTCAAAAGAGAGTCGAAACGTATTTATTGGAAGATTTTATGTAATTTATATGGAATAAAGGATTCTAACAATTCCACCTTGGACTGATTACGTACTAACAACAACGTTTGCACTCTCACTGCCCTTTGTCATAGAAATTTTGGTTTTTGAATAGAAGAGTCCGTAAAAAAAAATTTCATTTAATATTATTATAATTAAACAAATTCAAACTGCATACATATTTTATATATATACATAAAATATGTATGCAGTTTGAATTTGTTTAATTATATTTCTAATTTTTATATGTACTTATATGTATTAATTTCTTAATTCTATTTATCGACGACTCTCTCAGAATTGTTATCCTTTACGTTATCCTTATTATTGTAAAACATATAAATTTTGCAATTAGAAAAAATTTCGAAATAATTCTGTTTGTAGTTGTCTTATAATTGACTCGTTGAATGTAAATAATGTTCAAAATGATCAAAAAGTTTCCTAACAAGTTTTAATCGCACTCAATAAAAGGAAATATATGATCATCTTAAATGAGATTATATTTTAAATTCATATTTGTTTTCTATTCTTGTTTTTTTATATAAAATGCTACTTACATTTATGGAAATTTATTTGAGCTCATTCGCAGTCTTCTAATCTAATCGACTGATCGAGGCTGCAGTTTCGCGTGAGTTCGATATAGTAATGCGGGGGTTGGATACGTCAGCCTCCGACGAGGAATCTGCCAGATAGATCAGTCGGACGATGATCGTCGTCCAAGTTGTGTCTCGTTAAAATAACAAGTGGATGTGAAAATGGGTTCAAGTCAATCACTGACAGTTACACTAATGTTGCTTTGCACAGGTAAACCATTTCACAATTTTTCGATAAAGTTTTGTTTCTTGTACGTTTTGACCGTTATCAGTTTTTGACACTCGTTTCTACCGATGTAGATTAACTTTAATCTTGATTTAACTTACTCTTTATAATTTTTAATGATTAGAACTGAAATGATTAGAAAAATATGAAGAGTTGATTGAACCAAAATTAAAATTAAACTATATTAATAAAAACAGGCATAAGACAGTTTAATCTTAAACACGGAAATTAACATGCAATATTTTAAATATTAAACATAAAACGAAAAAAATATAGAATAGAGTAAACAAAAGAAAATAATTAAATAATTATTTTTTTTTTGTATACTGTTTAATCTGTATCAAATTTAATCTAATGTGAGTTGCCACTGCTCCTACTAAATACATCGTTATTTTATACTAAAACGATAATTAAATTTGACTGTCGTGTCAATTTGACACTATGCAGTGTTAAATTTACACTGTATAATATATCAAATGTAATGATTGATTAGAGTATAAAAGAACAATATAATTATAAATAAGGAACAGCGGCTCATATTAAATTAAATTTGACACTATAGATTTAATAGTATAAAAAAATATATTAATGCAAATAACTTATTTGCATTTTGCATCATATGAGCAAAAAATTATCAAATAATTTTAAAAAAATATTAATGCACGCGCAAAAATAAATTATTAATCTTATGTTCTTAAAACAGCGCAAAATCTCGTTTCAACTAACAATAACTATTATAGTTTTTATGTCGATATTATGTTTTTATCGCTCTTAAAAATTAAATGTTTAATTAATTATTTTTGTTTTTTTTTAATTGGTTTCTTTAAAAATAAAAAACATAATTATGTATCATATATAAGTTCAATAAAACTTTTACACTTTTAAGTCATTAAAATATAATGTCTTTTTTATTTGTATTTATAATTCTAAAATTTAAAATATATATATATTTTAGATATAAAATTCTTAATCACTTTAAAAATCAATAGAAATTAGCTCTTGCTTAAAAATTAATTTCTTTATTATATCTTCCTTTAAAATTTAAAGATGTATTGTGCTTATATAAATTTTATTAGATTTCTCTTTATCAGATAAACATTTCTGAGAACGCTTGTGTATGAGCGACTAATGATGATTTATTTTGAACGTGAATTGCAATGTATCAATTACGGTAGCTGCGTTTATACTTACCTGCTCACTTACTTTGGTCGATCGGTTGATGAACGCATAAACCGCGGTCTAAATTTAAGATTTGGACCACGCTTTGTTGGTGAATTTAATTTTACTCAGTTGATCGCTTTGCAGTTACCGCGCGTTACTTTACATCAGCGACGGAAATGCAACACTTGTTAGCGTTTTACAAATTTATATTATAAATATTAATTATTAAATTTAATAAAAAAGTTCTTTTCAACGTGTTTTATTACAGTCTTCTTACACTTAATATAAATACATAGTTTTAGAGTAAAAAAAAGTAAAAAGATTATAAGTCTTTGTCGCAATTATAAAAAGAAAATAAAAATAGAAATCTATGACCTTTAATGTCTTTTCATTTTTCGTCATTTTAATTTTTCTCAAAAAATGCATTATCTTTGGTAATAATTGATACATAAAAGTGTAGGTATTTATTCAATCAGTTAATGTAAATTGAATGAATCACTCAGCATTTTTTGCTCGAATCGTGATCGTTTAATACAGATGAACGCATTCGATTATTTAAATGCGCGTCTTTTCTTTACATTATTATTTTTTAATGCATTGATAACATTGTTTAATAAAAAAATCAGCAATCAATTTTTTCGAACATTGAAACAACACAATTATTTTTTGTATTGTAGCTTTTTAAATTATAGTATGAAGTATGAATGTGTTCTTTACGACACTGTTTTGAAAAATTTATAATTTAATTTGCAAAAAGGATTATTTTTACGTATTTTATTTTACATATTTTGTTTTATATACTTTATCATATTATTATATAAATACGGTGTATAACGTATTAGAAAAGATTTATTTTAGTCAAAAAATTAAATATGTTGTTAGAACTTTCAGCTTTCAAAAGGACTTTTTAGTATTTCGGTTATGGTTAATAAGATATTCATAGATAAATACGAAAAAAGTTTATTACAGAAAAATTATGAATATTTGTTAAGTTAGTTGATATTTAACAAATAACAGCTTTTTAACTATATTTGTTTAAACTTAAGAGTTTTTTAAGCCATTCAATGCGAATGTAATGTCAAAATTAACAAATTAAAATTGGTAAATTTACATAATGTAGCAGATGTTAAAAACTTGAAAAATATTCAGATTATTGTATAATGTATGAATGATTTTGAACTTATCAATTTTGACATCGGATTCGAAGTCAAAATTGATAAGTTCAATAAGTCGGGCCAAGAAACCATTATGTTTATCTAAATATATAATTGAAAGCTGTTTGGTAAATTGTCAATGACCTAAAACTCTAAAAATATTTCACAATTAACCCTATAATTAACTATGCATGTCTTATTTAGCTTAGATAACCGATACTAAAACATCTTTTTGAAGATTGACAGTTCTAACAATCATTTTCATTATATTATAATTAAACTTTTCCAGCACGTCACATATTCTAGATAAATTTTCAAAATTGTGATATGATGGAATAATTTGGAAGTCAAATTCGTATTCAGCGTCCAAAAAATAGTAAATAATTAGTTTTTGTTCTGATTTCTTTTTTGTCGAACAGTATAATAAAACGACCGGTCAGTTCATCGATAGTTCGCATTACATACTGTGATCACTACGACCTGACAGACCTGTGTATACGCTAAATCTCATGCGATAGCTTCTAGTGTAATCTCGGGGTTATCCAGTTAGATTTGCGTCGCGTTCATCAGTCGTACACTTGTCGTCATCGCGCTCGTGTGTCACCCATTGCGATCATTCCAGGTAGTTCCCTGCGATGCGTCTCTTCTGCTTAATCGCTTTTCTAGGTAAGGGTTCTTCTGCTGCGTTTGCTCGATAGTTGATTTCTATTTGTAATTATTTTTTTATCACTTTACCTGATAAATTGTGCAGAAAAAATATCGATATGAAAAAAAAGTTAGTGAACAAGAGGATATCTCAGTCTCTTTTATAATTCATCGTTTTTTAGGTACGCTCAAAATATTTGTGAACATAATTCACTTCAAATATTTGATTACAGAATTTATCATTCTAATTTTTTTTTAAATAATTTTTGCAATCGTTTTACCTGTTAATGTCAATTTATAGTATGTAGTATAGTTTTCTTCTTTGGCCAAAAACTATTTATATTTACGATAGATTTTTTTGCAATTATTTATTTTAAATTTTGCAGCATTTTATACTATTTTAAACAATTTTGAAATAGTTTTATAATTCTTTTCTTTTCAAATTTTTTTTCGACAAAACTATTTTGCGAATTCATACGTATTATATACATTAAAGATTAAACTTACTATTTTTGTTACGTATGTTTTCTTACTGCGCGTAACTATGAGATATTAATATTGTATTCTTTTATCAAACCCAATACTTTCAGTTTTTAAACATGGCTGGAGACACTACCGCGTCTCCTGATATGTATATATATTTTTAATAATTATTGTACGGCTTATTGATTAATAATCAATTTTAATAAATAAAAGGACCCCGAGCCAAATCAGGTTATTTTTGGTTATTATTTTTATGTAAATATTCATAATCAAACATTTCGATCTTCTAAGAAGTCCTTCTCAATGTTTAAATATAAATGTATTATAAACGTCAATTTTTAACTAAAACTAGTAATATAATAAGATTTATATGTAAAAGAGAGCCGTTCATATGTATATTAATTAAAATGTGAATTATAGATACATCAACAACTTAACAATGAACGTTGATAATTTAAGCATAATTATCGAATTATGCGAAGAATTTTAATAATTAAGTTCAGGAATAAAGCCTAAATTATAAGACAAGAAATTAAAAAACACAATCGTATATAATCCAATGTAAATTATAATAAAAACCACTCAAAAGTATTATTTCTTTGAACGAATTGTATAACTAGTGTTTATTTTATTATTAAAAAACATCTAGTATGGTCATATCGATTTTAATTCAAAATTGACTATTATAATACATATATTTAGATTTAAACATTAAAAATGACTTCTTATGCTCATATCCACCAATGTAGATTAACTTTAATCCTGTTTCAATTTGCTCTTCGTCTTCTTCTAGTTCTAAGCCGAGATTAAAGTTAATCTATACATTGGCGGAAACGGACATTAGAAGATCAAAACGTTTATAAACATTTACATTAAAATATTAACAAAAATAACCTGCTTTGGCTCGTGATTCTTTTATTTATTGGTATTAATTATATATAATATTGTATTCTTTTTTCAATAATATCATCACTTAATTATTTTATTAAAGAGCATTTCTTGATTAAATCATGTGAGAAAATTCTTGTTTAAAAATTTTAACGATAAATAAAAGAATATTTTTTGATAAATGTTTTTATTAAAAAAAAATAATTCTGTAACCTTAAATTTTGAGACAATGAAATTAGTTTATTTCCAAATTAAATAATAGTATTATAGGGACAAAAAGAGACGAATTCTTTAAACTCGAAATATCGATGTAGTGCATAAAGGTTTAACAAGAGAAATGCAAGAGAATCGAAAATAAAAGTTCGATGTGTCGATAGTATCGAATAATCTTAAACATTTTTAACTATGGATAAAACTCGTATACCGATCAACCGGACTTACGACCTATCCCTACAGCGGAAGTGTGCATTATGCTCATTAAAATCTGCTAGTCGTTTGAATGATTTGGCCGTAGTTATGGCCGGTGCGCTGATCTAGAAAGCGCCGGCGTTTATCCGTCGATTGTAGTCTAATTGCAGTATGAACGGCTTTCGCTAAATGATCACTTTACTATCGTAGTCTCGCTTTCTTTCTTGCCGCGACGAGAATGAGATTAGAAATAAGTGCTAACAAATTCGTCGTGATCCGAGCGGTCAATGAGGTCAATTCTGTTTCCTGTCGTGCGCGTTCAATTACTTATTAGGCCCATTGGGACGAACATACTCGCGATATGGCGAACTGTTCGCGTGGCAGTGACGTGGAAATAATTATATTTTATGAACAGTTCGTGCGAACTCGTCAAATTGATACTGAGAGCACGAGGCCAGCGCCGGCTTTAGATCACGATCATTACAGTGCTCACGTTTCTCCGCAATTTGCCTCACTTGAACGAATTTGCATGTAATGCTGAAACTGAGCAACCGAATTGATATAAATTGGAAAAATTACATCAATGCTTATACTAATAACTATAGAGATTATTGTAACAGAAATGTATCATATGTCATTATGTGCCTATTAATTTTGCGTCAATTTAATTTCGACGGCGATCATAATTATAATTATAATTGACATTGAAATTAAATTTACACAGTATACTATGTGTGATCGATAGTAGTACTACTTTGGAGTACTAATATTGGCACTATAATACACATGAAAGCTAATTAGTTTCTTTTTAAATTAATTAAAATTGTTAATTTGTAACATTAGTATAATTATTTTTACATTAATTACATAACTATATAATATAAAATTTTATCCTTAAAGAATTTAGGAACATTCAAAATGAAACAAGTATTCACTTTTTAATGAGTAGCTATATATAGGACTAAATGTTTATGAACATAATTTAAAGTCATACATAAATAAAATGTAAAACATTTAAGCATCATTAAACCATTCTAATCATCCTAAAAAAAGAATTATTTCAAACTGTATGTAAACGTTATTATTTTTAATACTATTTAAAGTTTACAATTATATACGAGTAAAAACGTAAAAGTCATTCTCTTTACGTAATGTATTCATTTATGTAGACAAGGTTAACTCAATTAACTGTTTTAACGATTTGTTGGGACAGTTAATAGCGCTTAATTGTGGCGCATTTTATTCATGCATATAATTTTAGATTGCACTCATAAAAGTTTATTTCTATGTATAGAGTGAAACATCTAAAACAGGCCATCTAAATAACTCGCTTGTTCTTCATAATACGAAAAAATGTTTCAGTTAAAAGTGAAATAATTTCGAGAGGGACATGTTTTGATCACGCTCAGCCAGAAATGATAATGAAATTGATGTTGATTCAACGTCAAAATTATCAAATTGACATCGAATCGACATCGATTTCATTATCATTTCTGACTGGGCGTTGTCTAATTAAAGGCAAAAGGATATTATGATCACATCCATTTTTTTAAATAATACTACATGACTTTTTTACATAATATAATCTTTTTAAAAATTTTGCACAAAAGAACGAAGATACGGATATCTAATGTCAAAACATGTATTTCAAATTAAAGTATAAAATATCTTGTAAACTATTGGTTTTTTGATATCTGTATCTTCGTACTTTGGTAAACCTTTATAAAAGGGGACCACCTTCCGATGACCTTGAGTAACCTCCGGCAGGTTTTAGCCGTCGCTCGTCCTTCGTTAAAAAGTTATTAACAATCAAAGTTTTAAAAATAACGTCTTATTTCTGCTATATACCATCTTAAACATTATTCTACACATACATTTTGACTTCCTACAC